GTCTACCTTAATCAGAGACAGCAGCTGAAGTGCTGCAGGACTGCATGATGCTTATGTTGCACTCCACATCATGCAGAAGAGGAGTGGCTTGGGTTTCTGGACTGTTTTGATTAATGAACTCAGTGGCTCACAATTCATCACGGTATGCAAGCATGCATGTTCATGAGTCTGACCTTTTAACTCCTACTTTTGTCTTTTTCCATGATCCCTTTCACTATCTGCTCTTAGTGTTTCACAAGGGAATTTGTGATTTTGTTTAGCATTCAAAGATGTGCCTTTTCCTTCGTATTTTGGATGTGTCCAGCCCTGTAGTTCCAGTAAGTTCCTACCTAACAAAGGAGAATTTAGCATAAAAATGCACCAAAAACTTGGAATCCTTTAATGCAACTGAAAACATCAACAAAAGGCTCCCAAAATGATGGATTTTGCTCCATTGCTCAAAATCCAAATAGGCAAGCATCCATCAGTATTATTTTATGTCAAAAGTCAAGAATGCCAAGCATTTTTAGAACTGCTCATCCCTACTACACCTGCATAGCAAGGGGATTGCTGACACAGTGCCCAGGTACAAAAATTGCAAATGAAAGTCCTCTGATTTTTGCTAGGGCTTAGGAAAAACAAACAATACCCAACCCAACCTGACAGAATCACTGAGAAAAATATATAAAGACTGTAATTTCAAGGCATATGTCTCCACAGGGAAGAAACCAAAAATTGAAACAGCTTTTTTTTTTTTCTCAAGTATTAAAAATGGAAAATATTTGTTTTTCTGCAGACCCAGACAGTGGTTTTAAGCCTGGTTTTATGTAATGTCAGCCTCACTGAAAGATCTGTCTGTAGACATCTTCCCTATTAATTAGCAATTTAGTGGCCATCTGTGGAAAGGGATAAGCAAATATGTTTTTCATTTAAAATGAAGCTGAGGAATTAATTGCTTTTACTTCCCCTAGTAACTCATCCTTCTCTCTCTATACACACACACATACAGTCAATAAAGAAAGTGAGGCAAAACCATGCAGGTCAGCTCACAGATGTGAAGATATTTTACTTTGCAAAACTACAATTCAACATATGTTCAGGAAAAGCAGCTACACAGTAACAAGACACATAAGCTTCCGCAGAACAGAAATCATTAAAAGCAGCCACTGGGTATTTCATCTCTCTTTTAAAATAACTTGATCTTCCCAAACAGATGTGCATTATTTGAGGTCAAGAATCAAGAGCAATTTTCACCTACCCCCTCCAGTGGAGCTGATGAAGTGACAAAACATCCCTGGGGTTATGAGTATGCCACAGCCCCCCACAAATCTAATTAGGGGCTTCACCTTCCCACATCAAAATAACCAGCAGCAGGACACTTTCTCTTTGAAAACTGCAGCCACACTGAGGTCAGCAGGACAGCATGTGCATCACTGCATTTGAGAGCACAAGAACACCACCCTGCAGAAGGAGGCCCTGGAGCAGAGACCAGGGCTGCTGACAGAAGGCCAGGCTTTCTTAAACTCTGTCCCAAGTTAAACACAACCAACAAAGCCAGCCCCACAGGCTCAATACCCACACACAGTTTATTCACCTCGATGATGCCTTCCCAGTGTCTGTGCACAACTAGTATCATGTGCCCAACTCCTCCTACAAGCTACATACATTACACTTTTTACTGGGTCAACATTTGCACTCAACTCAGCCAAAATTCCCACTGCTCCAGGACAGCTTCACTAAAGTATTTCTAAATTTTTCATTAAAAGCTACCTGGATTTATTATTTACCATAATGAAAGCTTGAATAAAAGATAAAATGGAAGTGGTCTTACTACTTTGGTGGTCTTACCTACTTTTTTAAACAGCTATCTGATGTCACAGCAAAGTACTATAACTGGTGGTCAGTGTGTCAACAGAGTTAATGCAACATGAATGAAATTCTGCCACAGGATCAGCTTTACAGAGGGAGTAAGCAGTGAGCAGAAGGGGATATACCCATGGCTGAGCAGCAGAGCAAACCACATTTTGTCTTAAGAAAGATGGAATTCCAGTGTTAACCCCATCTCTCTGGGGATAAGCATACTAAAGACACATGGAAGGACACTAGTTATGAACTGCTTATGCTTTCAAATATCTCTAATATTCTGGGCCTTTCTGGCACAAATGCCCCATTTGGATGTCACCACAGGCCTGTGCTGACTGTAGCACAAACCCTTCAGCTGATTTGCCAGTGGAAGACAGCAATGCATGTCTTAAAAACACTTGTTTACACAGCAAATCCTCTTCAGAAACACAGGCTCAACAGACAACAATCCAAGATCAAAGAAGAAAGTATCACTACTATTCACACCTTTCTGCTTCAGAAACTATTCAAGATACTGAGCCACTAAACAAAAGCAAAACTAGAAACCAAGTTGCTAGAAACAAGGACCTGAAAGCCTTGCAAAGCCACCACACCACCTGGCAATGTACACACCATGACCAGCCTTTCCCAGAGGCACAAGAACTTTGCACAATCAAATCCATTGGATTAAAAATAATTCTGAGCAGGAAGAATTGACAATTCTAAAAGTAAACTCTTCCTTTCCCTCTACTTGATGCCAGCAATTCCAGAGAAGCAGCTCTTGAGTGGCCCTACCAAACCATGGAGGCACAGCTCATGGAGCAAACTGAAGCCAAACCATTGATACCGATAATGAGGGGAGGTTGCAAAGGCAGTGCTGCGACTCTGACCTGATCCAGGACCCACAGAGCTGCAGCTTCTGTGACAGCCACCAGTGCGAGGGCAAGGCCCTGCCATGCACTGCACCCTGACTTTCTGCAGGGCAGCCTCACACCCAGCCCGTGCAGGAAAGGTGGGGCTTGAAGACATTTTCACACCTATCCACCTTCTTCATTGTCATTTCCAGAAAAGTCAGTTTCTTTGAGAAATAAAAATAAGGTAAAAATATCAAAGGTGATCTTGCTAATGAAATTGTGACTGTAAGCTTAGCTGGCCACAGTATTGTTTAAGCCACTAGTCTTTTGATACAGCACTTATTGCTATTCAAATGAGCAGAGGATGAAACACACAAAAAGAAAGGTTATCATTTTCATTCTGCTCATCTAAATCAACATTATTTATGCATAAATTCAGTTTCTTTCTGCCACATTGTCATATGAAGAGCTTGGAACAGGTGCAAGTCCAAAATAACCCCATGTACATTCATGACTTTTTGAAGGCTATGCTTAATCATTATTCATAGTACTAAATAATAATACTGATTAATACTAGCTGTTCTTGTTCTAGCTAGTATCATGGTCATAACAATAAGCCAAAGACCAGGATATTTCCTATCCAACTGGCACCTTCCTCAGAAAATATGTTTGGAAGCCTGTTTTGTGCTACACCACTACATTGTCTAATGCACCTTCTCAAGAGAAAACTGCAAAATTTTATCCATATTTTATATAAATTTTCCTTCTCCTACAGGGTGTTTTATTAGGATGATGGGATTCTTGGCAGACAAAAAAGCTAGAAAAACAAAATTAACAATCTTTATAGCTCAAATATCCCAATCCCTGTGTGATCAACAATGTTTGTCTTGATAGTTTTTTTCACTAACCTTCATCAGACTTAACACTACACACATAATCTCAGTGTGTGACTTCAGTGTTGCTGTAAAAGAACACATCAGAATCAAAAGTTCACATTTCTGCAGCAGGCACTGTACTGCTAATTGAGTTTCATTATGTATTTGGTTTTCATTTTCTGCTTAGCAAGGACTGACTTTCTCCTCCTCTGGATGCAATGTTACCATACAGAAGCTTCTATCTTTCTCATCTATACAATGACAAGTTTTCCCATGGACAAAGCAGATTTTTTTTTCCTTATTTTGGTTCAAACTCCACCCTTATCTAGAAAACCATGACCTAGTTTAACAGTGGCCACCATATGGTTCTTAACTCCAAGTAGCTCTCAAGGCACTTTGAATGCAGATCCTGCACTGAAATGACAACATGGCCAAAAGCTGGACAGCTTGGCAACTTGTACCCATTCTAACAAGGATGTCTGAGCCAGAGGTGCCCAAGCACAGCAGCACCCCCCTTGCTTCAGGATATGTCTGTGTGCTCAGCCCACGGCAGAGTTTGTGGTTCCTACAGAGTCCCAGTTCTCTCCCTTAGAAGATGATGCTCCCAGACCTCCTCCCACACTCTGACCCACTTATCAAATACAGCTCTCAGACGTGAAGAGTTTGCCACATACTAAAATGGAGGCAAAAAGGTGCATTAATTCTTAACACTTCAGTCTTTAAGCATTTTATGGATATTACAAGAGCATATTGAGGTGATATGGACAGAATATTTTTTCCAAAACAACTGAATTTTTGCTAGTCACAACAATACTCCTATTTGTGATTTAAACCTAACCAGTAACGAAGTGTGTAAGTAAATGCTTATACTGCCACCAAAAATATTTTTAGCTGCATCACATTTACCAGGATTCCAGATGTTCTTGTGAAACCAGCATTGATGACATGCAGCTATTTGGTGTTGTGCACTGATTTGCAGAAGCAAACAAACTCCACAACTTTGTGGAAGTTGTAAAGCCAGTATGTTTATTACAGCGCTGGACACATGTGGGGACTGCTCCCCTCAAAAGACATGTGTGCCTCTGAGAACTCCAGATCCTTTTATTATCTCTCCCTCAAATACATGTGCATGCAATTTCACAATAGGTTCATACATATTCATTCTACTGATTTCACGTGACATTTTCCGCTAATTCTTCTTTATCAGAAAGAATTCCTGGGTCAGTTTGCTCTCTCTCTGTCTAGCCCCCCTATCTCTTGTCCTTTGGCTGCAGCAGTTTCTCCCAGCATAGGCTTTTTATGAGAACAGGCAGGCAGACTAAACAGCTATGTTTGCAAGCTTACAGACTTAACTCAAAGATGTACATTTCACCTAAATCAAAATGGATTTCTACTCTGGAAAATTTCCACTCAGTCTCAGTACGAGAAAGACAGAATCTCTAATACTTACAGCCAATCATCATCATAGCCACAGCGAAGATCTTCTCCCCATCCGTGGTGGGAGCGATGTTCCCGAATCCCACGCTGGTCAGGCTGGTCATGGTGAAGTAGAGCGAGGAGATGTAGACGGAGTCCTTGCTGGGCCCGCCCTCCCACTTGCCGAAGCCGGAGGTGTTGAAGCGGTAGGGAGTGCCGATGGACTCCCCCAGCTGGTAGAGCCAGCTCTCGGTGCGGATGGTGTTGGTGTCCTCGTCGATGACCTCGTAGTCGCCGATGCTGTACCAGATGCAGGCCAGCCAGTGCGCGGCCAGCCCGAACACGCACACCAGCAGCACCAGCACCGCCGCCCCGTACTCGATGTAGTGGTCCAGCTTGCGAGCCACGCGGCCCAGCCGCAGCAGCCTGACCACTTTGAGGGAGCTGAAGAGGCTGCTGATGCCCTGGAAGGACAAAGAACAGCGGCCGTTAGGATTTCATGTGAAAGCAACAATATTTATAACTGCGGCTTCCAAAGAAACAAGGTGATCCACAAAAAAACATAGTCACCAGATAACTGTGAAACACAAAAAGCTTAGTGACCCTTCCCAGGGATGAATATATGCACCCTTACCTTCATTCACTACCATTTTGTGGGTTACTCTCCCTTTTCAGATTATTTGAACAGGTTTACCAATAGCTTTGTAAAAACTTCAAACGACAGGCTGTCTATTGCATATCCAGCTGTGAATTCTTATGCAACATGTCAGATGTAATGTCTCAGATATAAGAGAGATTACAATATTTAGCTCAGACATATCAGAAAGATAAATAAAGCCAAAAAATACTGGCAGTACCTGGCAATTTGTTATTTTCCTATTTCCTACGATGCATTTCCTATGACTTCACTTTTCTATACAAATTCATGCACTGATAATCAGTCCTCTGACATTTCTCATATGAACTACACAAAGCTTAAGTATTTCAAATATCTCACTAATCCCCAAATTATATCCTTTTTATGACAGCTTTGATATCAATGCAGTATTTCTGTACTGAAAATAATATGGTTCCCATGAAACAGAATTAAGCCAGCATGCAGGATTTTGTATTGTTAACTTTTATACAGATTTGCACAAGAAGTCAAATTAAAAAATTCAAACCCATTTGGAGCATATCTGAATAGCCTATCATAAAAATCCTTCCTTTTTTCTCTCTACTTCCTCTTACCAAGACTGTTTCATACATAGAAGTCTGATTAAAATTTAAGCAGACTGGTTTAATGAGTATTTCTGGAAATGCATAATTGCATACTTCTGGTCACCAGCTTTTACTGGAAGTTTGTTTATTCCTGCATAAATACAACTGCCTCAGTATCTTAGGCTGCTTCAGTGCACTAGAAAAGATGTTTTATTAAATAATTACATAAAGTATATTGACTCATGTTCCCCAAGACTGCAGCAATATATTTTCCCTTTATTTCATGAATTTGTCATGATTACATTGACTCATTTTCAGAGACAGATGTAATTTGTTACCTGGGAACACACTAGCAATTTCTATTAAGTATCTGGACAAGATCTAATGCAAACAGGGGGTGGGGAGTAAAAAGAGAGAGAGAGAGAGAGATAAGAAAAAGAAAATAAAAAGCAGCCTTCCTTTAAATCAGAGGTATTTCCAGAAATCTAGAAGAGAGCAAGTGAACTACTCTTTTAATGAATATCTAAGCCAAACTTTTCAAGTCACTGATACCAAAATTGCTTCACAAAGTTAATTTCCATTTCCCATTCATTCCATACCCAGCTTTATTTTGTAAACACTGGAGCAAAGCCTCAGTGCCAGTTCTGAGAATATGACACAAAAGACCTTAATTTCCAGGGGAGGGAAAGCAGGTATTTCTGAACACTCTGTATGGTGAGGAAAAGCAAAGTGGAAAATGCAAAAAATTATGACCACATTTTAGAATTGGATATACAAGTCCTGGACTGACAAGCACATTTAGTCTCTGCATTTTAAATATTCTGACATTACAAGACAGCCTTCTGGCTTTTTCCCTCAGGGCTCATGCCCACTTCTCCCTGTTCTCTTTGCAAACCTTAGCAGTGAAACACTCATTTTTTTCATTTTGAGAGGTCTCCAGCAATGATGCTCTTTTAGCTTCAGTCTTAAAACCAAGCCTTTCAATCACACGCTGCTTCAAAATTTCCACCCCAACATCGGAGAAAATGGTTTTATTTTTGTTCAAAAGCAGTGGTGCAAAACCTGTTCTTCAAATTAAACATATCCCTATGATTAAAAAATAAACCCCGAAAAATGCTGTTTGTCAGCATGAGTCCTACCAAAGCCAAAAAATAATAATAATGGTTTAGGAAGGACTTAATAGCTTAGAATTTGGTTAATTCTTAATTAAAAAATAAGAATTAAAAATTAGAAAGAGTCAAGGATTAGAAATACTTGGGGAAAGGAAAGAATCACAGGAGAGGAGCTCAAGAAATTGGATATGAAAATTGGGAATACTAATTAAAATACATTAAATCAGATTTTAAAAGTCTAAGGCAAAATACTTTTTTCAAGCATTCTCTTATCCTAATTTCCCTTGTGGAATTCACTAAAAGAAATTTTATTAAAAAATTTAAATGGGATTGAACTGTATCATTTGGGAGAAACTGATTCTACCAAATTCTTACCAGACATAGATAGAATTAGGCTTTTTGTACAAGAACTTGAATATTTACAAGAAATATATACTTGATTTAGTGGCACTGGAAGGATACATTTAATATTCAAATTTCTTCTAATGCTCACCTGACTGCATTGCCAATGAGATTCTAAAAGTTTAGAAAAAGCTCTATAAAAAAACTCCAATTTATTTTTATTTCAGCATGAACACTGTTCTCTCTTTGATTTCCTCAAACGAAAGGAGTTGTCTATCCTAAATGGATCAATATCAAGAGCAAGAACTGCACAGGGAAATGATTATGCATATAACTCTTAAAAATTTCTAAGTGAAAGAATTTCAAATGGTTACAAACAACTGAAACTTAATAGACTGTTTCACAGATTATAAAGTAGGGGAAAAAAATCAGATAGTCCTGCAATACTTTAAATCAGTACTTTTTGGCACTAGATTTAGCAAATTATATTTTAATGCTCACTGGAATAGATCTGTTGGATTGAAAAATTGACAATTTTAGATTACCACTTTCCGAAATAGAACTGTACTTTTAGATTATTGTCCATTTTAATGCTCTTATCAGTGCAGATTATTTTTATGCTTTTATCGTACAGATGGCTCCATGATGTCACGCAAAGGAGCCTGAACTCAATTTACTTCTCTTGATGTGTGTCCCACCCTCCTGGTCTGCTGCTCCTGCCAGTTTTGAGAGGCAGATGAGGAGACACCCAGAGATCCTTGTGCCAAAAGGAAACAGAAAAACCTCAGTTCATGAAGAGCTAGAAATGGCACTGCATGTCCCAGGCAGGCTCCCTCAGATGCTCTGCTCTAAAGGGTCACCATAAGGAATGTCTTTGTGGCAGCCAGGGAAAGGACAAGGCTAAGTAATATTCCATGGAGTTCTACTGGGTCTGATTTACCTCAACACAGTTGCAACTACTGGTACTCTATCCAACAGAAAACATCCCTTGAGGCTATGCAAATATAAATTTTTAAAAATCTGTTATATGCCCAGAATAGACACATAGTACATTTTTACTATATTTTTTTACAGAGAGAACTTGGGTGCAGTGCTCACTTCAATATGCAGCACTTGGTCAGGCATGTCAGAAAATACTGAATTTCACACACACTTGTATTTCAAATGTTTTGAAGCGACTGAATGAGACTAAAAAATTCTACTGCTGATACCTGTGTACTGATGTTGATAAATATTTCATAGATTGGCAGGTTTACTCTCATTGCCAGTGATGGCTGCTGCATAAAAAAGGAAGAAAGTGTAGCCAGTCCTCTCCAAACCAAAGGGCAAGCTCAAGGCACTGAGACACTGAAGAAATCATTCCATAGCCACTGACTGAGCAGACTTGAATGTCAAAAGCTCTTAAAATAATAAATACAGCCACTTTCCCTCCCTCTCCTTCTACACATTCTTAGCAGAGTAGAACTGAACCCCAAAAACAGAAAAACAGACCAGCCTCAGTCCCAGAGCAAAGCAGTGCTCATTTTATATTCAAAGAAAAGGCTTCGTAAGTTTGTCCATTAAATGCTGCCAAAAGTAAATTTCCATGTATAATTTGTCCTTAATTAGACTTCCTCACTATATTCTGTGCACATTTACACAGGTTTTCTTCTGTATTTCCTTGCTTCCTGCAAGTTCTAACCTACTGTGAGTGCACTCCTTTTCTCACACTGATACCTCAGCATGTAAGCAGCCTTCTTTCCAAACACAGGATCCAGGACATCCATTTGCTGGCTCTCCCTCTCAATCAGACAATGTAAGATTTGTGCTATTACTCCCACACCCAGAAAAAGAGACAGAGGCACTGTGGAAACACAAGGGCTGTAAGCAGAGCAATTACTGTTCCTTGTGTCTTTGTGGTCCAAGAACAGTAACAGTGGACGCACAGTGATAGATGCTGTACAGACAAAAGCAGTTGCTGCTGTTCATTTGCCATGCAAAATTAAATTCAGCTCAATTCATTGACTAATAAAAGCCCACCTAGAAAAAAATTAAAATACAAGTTGTTTAAAGAACAGCCATCAAAAGTAACCGAGGTCACCTCACCTGCCCCCCCAAAAACATGAAAAATACTTAATTTTCCATTCCAAACAAGATGCAGCATGAATAACTGCAGAAAATAACTAAAATGCTGCATTCACCCCACCTCCTACAGCTGCAGTAGCACAAGTACTTTAGTAATAGATTCAATCTACATGACAGTATTCACTTTTTAGGCCATTATTCACTTTCTACATGTACAGAAAGAAAATGCACTTAACCCAAGCATTAAGATTTTTTTTCTAGGCTCAAAGGCAGGATAATTTACTTCCTACTTACTACCTATTTTTAAAAAGAGAAATATTCAGTATTGGCACAAATCTTTCCTAAGTTTTTCAGCACTTTTCTCTCATATGGAACTGCTAAAGTTCAGGCTTCATCTCAATTAATGGGAGATGCAGGAGACTAAAAGCTAACCATTAAAAGAAAGAGAATGAAACAGACAAAAAAAATTATTTATTCCAAAAGGGGAGGCAATTAACCAAATTTATCACTACTGTGAGGCAAAAGCTGCAGAAAGCACTGCCTTCTTTCTTGGCACTTTATTTGAAGCCAGCCATGCCACAACCTGGCTCTGCCTATCTGCAGTAACCTGGCAGCCCTGTCAGGTCATCATTAGGACTACACATTTCCGTCATTTGTCTCCTCTGATTTTCTTAATTAGGTCTGAGAACATGACCTTTCCTACAGATGGCCATATTTAGCAACCAAGAGATGAGATAGCGTTATGT